GATGACTAATACAATGTTAAAGTGATAAGACAGATATTTATTTTAATTGTTTGATAAGGTGATAAGACAGATCTTTATTTTAATTGTTTGATAAGGTGATAAGACAGATCTTTATTTTAATGGTTTGATAAGGTGATAAGACAGATCTTTATTTTAATTGTTTGATAAAGTGACAAGGTGAATTGAAGAAAGTTTGTGCTTTTGATAGGTGATAAGGCAGATTGGATAAGTTTCTCTTTTGTTCCTAATTGTTTTAGTAGTATTTTTTTTTTTTTTTTTGAATATTTCATTTAGAGTATTGACTTCCTATCCGTTATTTATGATAAAAATTATCACATAAAGATCATTTTATCACAGCTAAAGACACTTCTACTAATCAACAAATTTGTACACATACTTAGCTTTCTCAAATAAATATGATAACAAAACGTCCAGATAAATTCATTTAGAATAGACCTTTCATTTTAAAACAGCTGCTTGAAATCAAAATCTTTAAATACTGATGGTCGATTTATCTAATCTTCTAATTCTTGAGATATCAATTCTTCTCGAGAATTAGTAATAGCAATATTTTTTTTTTATCTTTTAGATTTAAATTCTTCATTTATAAGGATAGTTTTATTTCATAATCTTTTGATTCATTAAGTTGAAAATAATAGATTAATTTTTTGGCCAACTTAAAAATGGAATACTTTATATCATTTATAAATTATGTATTTGTTATAGTAAGATTGAATTTAAATTGTAAAATTATTTTAAAAATAAATTATCAGTGAGATTTGTCACTGATGCAAAAAAAAAAAACTATGAAATATTATTTGAAATGATATTAATAATTGATGAAAGGTATTGCTAAACACCTTTACATAAGGTATATTTACATATCTGAAAATGGAATAATTATTAAAAATTTCTGTTTTATTTATTTGATTTATTTAAAATAAAAATTGGTTACCACACAAAAAGATTTTGTTTTGATTAGAAAAGAATTCAAAGATTTTTTTCCCTTCCTCCCCCCGTCCTGTAATTAATAATCAAATATTTGAACTATTTGTTTGAAAAGGAAGAAAGCATAACTAAGCAGCATATTGTTGTTCAATTTGCTATTCTTTCATTTTTCTTTGGTGAGAAATTCAACAGAAAAGTTTACTTTCAATTTCTTTTTGCTAGCAGAAAAAAAATTTGTCATTCTAATAGAATTTTTTTTTCCTTTCAATAAAAAAAAATTCTTTTTTTTTTTTTTTCTTTCTATGTCATTTTAATAGTAATAATTTTATTTTAAAATACACATTTTTATCATTTTTTTTTCCTTTTGCTATTCATATTTAAAGTATGATAATGATAATATAATAAGCAATGATAAAAAAATGATAACGATGATTACAATGATAATTCATCGTCATCATCCATAGATGATAATTTTTACACTAATTAATACGAGAAAAATGTTGTTTACATAGGAAACTATGTGTTAGTGCTAAAAAATTTTTCTTCTCATTTAATTATTTTGTTATCAATTTTCTAATTAATTATTATTTTATTTCATTATAAAATTTTCATAGCAAATGTATTAGTTAAGGAAATAAAGAATTTTTCATATGTAATTTCAACCTTTTAACATTCGAATTTTTTCCTTTCATTGTATTTTGGAATTTTTTTTTTCTTTTATTTTTTCTTTTAATGTTAAAAGAGAGAGAAAAAAAAAAAAACCTTTGAAAGTGCTCAAATATGTGCAAATTTTTATAAATGATTATTATTTGTATGCTTTTGAAATACAAACGAAATGCAACAAATAATGTATTTTGGAATTTTTTCTTTTTTCCTTTTTTCTCGACAAAGCTAACAATTTTCTCTTTCTCTCGAGAAAGCTAACAATTTTCTCTTTCTCTCGAGAAAGCTAACAATTTTCCCTTTTTTTTGTGGTATACTCTCGAGAAAGCTAACAATTTTCCCTTTTTTTTTTGTGGTATAAATGTAAGTAATTAATGATTAGCTTATTAGTATAACTTACTTTGTTGAGTTTTAATAAAATCAAATTTATCAGTTGATTTAATTAAATGAACTGATAAATTTTGATACTTTTATTAACGATTACAAATGCGGAAGTGAAGCAAAGTAAGCAATCTTTGTTATCAGTTCAAATAAAGAAAACTTTCTTCTCTCGAATAGTGCTATCATTATCAGGGACAATTAAAATATAGCGGCGGAAAAGGACAGATGAATGATTAGAGTGGCGGAATAGTAATTATAATTTATATGATAATCAAATATCGAACAAAGTCTGATTGTTATATTTTTTTTTTTTTTTTTAAATAGAAATGATAATTTGAACGATTCTGAGAATGGTTCATTATTTTCATTTCTAAATTTTAGTGTAATTTTAAAATTCTTATTGGATTATTTTTGTCATCAATTTTTGTCAGTTCATTTCAATTGTCAATTTTGATGTTTGCAAAAAAAAAAGGATTGTATTGCTAACATACAAAGATTATTTGTTAGATTTCTTTTTTATATTTAATAAAGAAATAATTATTATCAAAATTTAAAATTATTTAGCTTAGCAAAATTTTTGTAATTTTCGATCAAATATTATTTACCATTTTTTTGTAATCAATGTGATCATCCAATGACAGTAATCTTTTTTTGTATATATTAATAATCTAAAAGCATTTGATATATTAAAATTTCAAAATTAAAAACTTATAATTATTTATCAAAAAAAAAAAGAGAACAATCTAATAGTTATTTTCATTGATAGAGTTTAATTTTTCAATTGAAATTTCAGATACTTATTTTTTTACTAAAACAATAAAGTGATTAGCCGATATTGTGTTATCAGTGAAATTGAAAATCAATTGTTAAACTGATAAAATTGAATGATTCATCAATGGAGTTTGTCTTGAGAGATACACGAATAAATTTCACTTTGTCTTTTTTTATTTTTTATTTTTTTTTTTTCACATCAATTTCTAATTTCAAACTATATTATTACACAAATAGTTGCTTTTTAGAAAAAAATCAAAGATTCAAAGATTTTAATTCAAAGATTTCTATGATTTGTTCCATTTTTGAAAACTAATAGATTATCGGAGTGAAAATTTTGAATATAAATATTTATAAAAATGATGAATGATAATATTTTTCAATTTCTATTAGAGATTTCCATTAATTAGACAGACAATATTATCTATCATTTTGTCCCATTCAGACTAATCTATGTGACGCATAAATAAATTTTCTTTTGTTCAAAATACTTTCATTGATTCACTTTTTTTTGATTGCTTTCATTTTTTTTTTTGAATTTAAATAAATGCATTAACTTCTACTTTTAACTTTTAGATTTCATTTTTGAACTGTACACTTACTTATTCCTATAGGTATTGCAATCTTTTAAGTAATAATATAAATGGATTAATGATGAAGCTATGATAATTCAATAATTAAAAAGAATTTAAAGAAGTGAAAAAATAAAAAAAATAAAAATTATTCTATCGTTTCCAACTAGCATAGAACAACTAAAATTAAAGATAGCATCAGTCATTTGAAAGTATTTAAAATTCGCTTTAAGTTAGGAACAAACTTTCAACAAAAAAATTAAAAGCTCATTTTTTCTTTTTTTTTTTTTGCAATACACTGATAGTTTTTATGTTACAATTTTAATGTATATTCATACTTTCTCTTTTAACTTTCTATTCTAACAGAAATAGTTTCAATTTTTCTGTTTAAATTTGATTTATTTCATTCACATAACCACTATAATGACCAATAAAATCGAAATTTTGTAAATTTTTCCTACCGATAAGACATTAAAAACGCAGTCTTTTTCACTTTTCTCCTCATTACTTACCCGAAATATTTCAATTTATTAGGAACAATTAACCAATTCCTATATTATAAAATAAAACACTAACTCAGTTGGCTTTATTGAAATATTTTAAAATTTTTAAAGCTATAACACCTGAAATATTCTCAGTTATCAGTGCATTCTCGAGAAAAATGAACCAAAAGTAAAATTTTCGAGAGTACGAGAAGCAAAGTTACGTTTGAGACGTCAAATCTTCAGAAATCTAACGTATGAGACGGACGGACGTGGAATGCGTTATACTAATAGCTAAAGAAGCTATTTGGATCAGAATTCTTTATAGTTTGAAATTATCACTATTTCAATGATCTTTAAAGAATATATGGCTTAAGCAGAAGAAAGTAATATATTCATTAAATTTTAGACTTCATCAAATGTTACTGCTTTTTAAAATCTTCACTATAATAGAATAGAAGTTAGTCTGAAATAAACAAATCATATGTGTTTACATACAAGAAATACTAATGTAATTAGTGCATCTCTTATAAAAGCTTTGTCGTCGTAGTCTTCAACTGATATTATTCTAAAAGACAGAGATAATTGTGATAAAAGATATATGCAAAAAAGATGACAAAGTAATCAAACAATGCAGTGAATTTAAATGAAAACTAAAAAAATTTCATTCTATTAGTAAGATGAACGCTTATTTTATTTATTTTTTGCTCTTTGTTTACATTTAGAAATAAACCAATTCTTCTTCCAGTACTAATCAGCTTTACAAATTAACTACTATTCATCGAATTGAATTAATCCATAAATTTAAATTTATGCTATGAATAAAATTTGAATTTTTGAATAGTTTGTAGCATTGTCTTTGTAAAAATTTTCATCATTATATTATCAATGATAGTAGTAGCATTTGGCTAATTGAAAATTTCATTTCATTGAAGGTATTTCATGTTCTTATGCTACCTTACTAATTAGTGTAATGAATGTATTCCTTGGCAGATGTACAAAGGGACGACCATTTGGCAAATTTTAACAAATGACCATCCATCCATTCATCCATCTATCCATTCTCTCTACCCTTAGGATTATTGCATTTGAAAGTTTCAAATGAAGCTAAAAGTTATAGCTAACCCATTTCTCCCCCTTAGATCTATCTTCTAGTCCAGTTTCCGTTCTATCACTTTGTGTTATGTATGGCCCAGCACTTCTAACGATCACTACGACTGCGGGTAAGGCCAGAAAGAGGCAGGCCACGGAGACTAACCTTCCCCACGAGCCTTACTTATCACATCCATCCCTCAACAGATCGATCCTCCAAGCCCATCATCCACTGCGCCACATGTCGCTCCCCGCCTCCTTTCCACAACCGCCCCACAACCATACAATCGTCTCCCTTCCATCCTTTGGGATTGGCACCGATCTTCTCCCCCCATCTTCACACTCTGTTCTGCTAGTGCTTCTGCTAACATTGCATATATCTGTCATTGTACCCAACCCTACCCTAACCCTACCCAACATCTTATCCAATCCACCACTCCACTCTATCCTACCCTAATCTTTCCACCATACTTTCCCATTATTTTATTCCTTTTATCCTACTACCTACTTCAACCACTTCCCCCCAGGTCATCTGTTACTATACCATTTCTATCCTACCAAAAACCTCTCTCTTCCATTTGCCATAAAACTATAATTACAATTCCTAAACATTGAATATTTCTCTTTCAAAGACCGACCATCTTTACATCACGTATGCCACCACGTCTTCCTAATCTTTTGTATTCTCTTTAGATTAATTTCTGGGTAAGAATTTCCCCGGTATTTCCATACCCATTTAATGGTGTACACCACCTTTGTCACTTTTTTGTTTCTCAGTGCTTTAGTTGAGCGGTAAATTACCCACTTTACCTGTCAACGACCCTCCCGCCTACATTTTACCCTTCGAACTGTTCATTTTTGTCTTTTTGTTGCTGAAAGAAACAATTTATTAACATAGAATGTCATCTTCAAAGCTTGTAGTAAATTAATCTTAAGTGTGACCAAAAAGGTATACAAAATAAATATGAATTATCGTTGGAATCATTTTCAATTTCCTTCAAATATTTTTATAATAATTTCTGTTACCTTTTTAGATATGTATGTTTTTTTTTTTTTTAAAAAATCCAACACTTATTTTTATTAAAATAATTTCCAACAATTATTTTAATGATTGTTAGAAACATTATATAACTGACCAATTGCTTCACTGGTCATTTTCATTTCCTGAAATAATTATTTGAAAGATTAGGAATATTTTTGAGATTAATTTGCATAATTTTAATTATTATTTCACATGCTAAATTGTATTTTATGTTTAGTGGGAGAGAATTTGAGTGAAGAAAATGATGTAAAAGATTGGGAAAGAGTAAAATTTAGTAGGGAAATTTTTTTTTTTTTTTTTGATTGCCGTGCAAATATTATGGATAAATCGAAGAGTGAAAAAAACCTGTTTGATGTATTGAGTCCTGTTTGGGTAAGTTCCTACCCTTTTACTTACCTGAAGTTTTCATCAATGTTTTTATCATAATATACCTGTCCCATCCTAATAATACCTCTTTCCTTTCCTTTCTCTTTTTCTCCTTTTCTATTCCCTCTTTCTTTCATCCTTTCCTCTATTTTTTTTCTTTGTTATATATTTTCACTTATGTAATTGTCTCTTTTCTCGTGCTTTTCACATGTTTAAAAGATAGTTTTAAAAATAAAAAAAAAAAAATGAGGAAAGGAGAGAAAAGAGAGAGAGAGAGAGGGACAGAGAAAGAGAGAGAGAGAAGAAGAATACAATCAAGAATACTGTGTCGTAGTGAAAGTGACAAATAGTAATTCTCGTTGCTAGTCAAATTTGTCAAATGCTTTGTCATCTATATTGCTACACTGATATCATACTAGAAAGAGATAAGATAATGTTTACATTAGTGTTTTCTTTTTTGATTTTTCTTCTTAAATAATTAATTGAATGATTTTAGGTTAAATTTTCAATGTTTATATGTATTTATTTCTATTTGAAGCAAATACTTTCTTCTTTCTTTCTTTTTTTTTTTTCATAAAATAAATTTAATCTAATTTTCATAAAATAAATAAATTTAAAATTTTGATAAAATAAATTTAATCTAATTTGTATAGCATTGTTAATCAGAAAAAAAAAACTTTCTAGCTGCCACTTTAGTGTGAATAAATTTTACATTTATTGAAATAATGCAACGATTTTTTTTTTTCTACTTAATCTGCATAATATCTAAATATTCCTTTTGTGATTGCCCACTTTCTAATTTTCAAATTTTAATATGCAAAGTTATATATGAATAATACTCTCACTAATACATCATACAACACTACTAATCTAAAAGAATTCAAATTACACAAATTAAATGATGATGAGAAAATAAATTTTATTTTTAAATGAAATTATTGTCTTCTTTTTAACTGAAATAAAATGCTTAAATTTCGTCCTTTTTTTTTTTTCGTTTCATTTTTCCTAGCACATCAATCTAATTTATGTTATAAATTTTTTTAACATAAAAAAAAGAAAAATTTGTAATAACAAATTTCTCATTTTATTCTATCTTCCCCGTTCTTTCCTCCCTTTTTTTTCCTTATGTATTAGTGAAAATTATGTAATGTCAAATTAGTGATAAATAAAACTGCTATATTATTATCATTGTTATTGTTGTTATTGTTGTTGTTTTGTTTATCATCATGTTCATTACCACTGTTGTTGTTTTGTTTATCATCATGTTCATTACCACTGTTGTTGTTTTGTTTATCATCATGTTCATTACCACTGTTGTTGTTTTGTTTATCATCATGTTCATCACCACTGTTGTTGTTTTGTTTATCATCATGTTCATCACCACTGTTATTGTTTTGTTTATCATCATGTTCATCATCACTGTTATTGTTTTGTTTGTCATCATGTTCATCACCATTGATATTTTGCTAATCATAGTGATTTTTAATGATGCGCTGTTGTTCTATGTTCCGCCAATTGGTTGTTTAATTGAAAAAAAAAAAGGAGGAATTTTCCCTTTCTTTTTCCATACCTACTTTTGAAAACTTACCACACACATCATTCAAGTATGTATGTTTATATATAACACACACACACACACACACACATGCACACACACACATGCACACCATATGGTGACATTTTCATTTCATTTAATTCTTTCAACATTTTCATCCCTCAATTACCATTTTCTATCTCATTTTTTTTTTTGCTGTTATGCATGCACATGCAAAATAAATTTTAAAATATTATACTATCTGTGATGCATGCACATGCAAAATAAATTTTAAAATATTATACTATCTGTGATGCATGCACATGCAAAATAAATTTTAAAATATTATACTATCTGTGATGCATGCACATGCAAAATAAATTTTAAAATATTATACTATCAGATGATTTCAAGAAAAGAAAAGAAGGAAGAAAGGATGCAATCATTTACAAACATTTGTATTTTCTTAAATAAATATAAGAAAAAATGATGAATGAATGAATGAGAAATGAGCGCATTTTGTTTATATAAAAAAAAAAAAGTTTGAAAGAATTAAAATAGAAATTGTAAATTTTTATGGCTTTAATACAAAATTCCTTGCAATATTTGCAGAAGAATTATTGCTTAATTTTATTCTTACCAAAAAAAAAAAGAAAAGAATTAAGTTTTAGAATTTGCTACTTTTATTCGTTTTCTTCTTATCGTACTTTTTTTTTCCTTCCTTTTTTTTTTTTGCTGTTTCAAAATTGATTAGAGAATATGAGCATTACTGGTTTGATTGTTTGGTTGGTTGGTTAGATGACGACAAAAAAAAAAGAAGAAAAATTGATTCTATCATTTTAATTGTGAGATTTCATGTGAAAGATAAATGAATGGAAGAAGTTTAGAAGTGTCAAAATATAGAGTTTTTTGCATGAGAAATGTTTGAGGTAAGCGCAAAAAGCCCATAACAATTTAATCTTTCAAATAAATTTTCTAACAAATGGTTGAAATAATTGGTATCGTTCCAGTTTAATTGTAAAAATTTTTTTCTTGTTTTTTATTTCATTAAAAAGTAATGATAATTGATGATAAGAAGTGATAAAATTCAAAAGATAAAAGTGAAAGTTTATAAAATATATAGCTTAAAGTAATTTAGCATGAAAATTTTTTCATGAAATTTTTCAAATTTTTAGATTATTTAGAAAAACTAGAAATAGCACTTAGTGACTCTTTCATTTGTTGTTGTCATTCATACCTGCCATGCAATTATTGTTTCGGATGAAAACTACAAAATTGACACTAACCAGGTGTTTTTTAATACTTTCTATTCCTACTTTTTGTTTGCATATGTGAGTCTGTCTGTTTACACAATCACATACACACACACACACACATATAAATGATGTGTGTATGTGTGTGTGTGTGTGTGTGTGTGTGTGTGTATGTGTGTGTGTGTGTGTGTGTGTGTGTGTGTGTGTGTGTGTGTGTGTGTGTGTGTGTATGTGTGTGTGTGTGTAATGCATACTGTCATTTCCAAAAACAGGAAGGCAGTCGAGAATTGTTTTAAGAAGAAAGCCAACCAAGCATAAGAAAAAAGTGAATGGATTTACTGACACTTATTATTATTAATATAATAATAAAATAACAAATAATATTAATAATAACAATTGACAATAATGATAATATTAATAATTGGTATTAACATTAATAGTTAATAATACTAATAATATTAATAATAGGAATAACAATAATAATAGTAATAATAATAATAATAATAATAATAATAATAATAATAATGAGTAATGTTAATGACATTAATAACATTAGTAATAATAAAATAGTAATGATATGATAATGACAGTTTGTAGTTGATAGTAGTAGTAATATTAATAATAATTATTATTATTAATAACATTGACAATATTAATAATTATTATACTGACAATGATAATAATTAACAATAGTAATAACGATAATAATAATTTTAATATCAATAATAAATAATATTAATAATGAGTAATATTGATAATGTTGATTAATGTTAATTAATAATAGATAATAATTAAGTAATAATAATAATAATAATAATAATAATAATAATAATAATAATAATAATAATAATGAAGAGTTGGAATTGCTTCGTACCTTACGTGTAAGGTACTTCCCATTTACTCTTCAAATAATAGATGTTTTCTTTTTTCTTTTTCTTTAATCAAATACTTCATTTTGATTATTTTTACATGTTTTACCATTGTTTATTTTCTGTTAGTTAATTACTTAATTAGCTAATTGTTATTTTATTAGAATTCTTAATTGCTTTTATCTAATTTTAATGAATATTTATGAGAATAAATGACATTGTGAGTTTTTTTTTTTTTATAATTTTGAAAGAATCAATCAAAATTTTTTCTTCTTCAGATTTAGTTTCTTTATTTTATAGTTTTCATTAATGATATTACACTAATATACATCAGACTGAAGTGATAATAAAATGTATTTGTTGAATATCACATGAATGGGTGACTGTCACAAT